CCTGTTAGTGGCATAATGAGCTCATAATATTTCACTCTCATTATTGAATCTATGTAACATATGTAACTCCTAAGGCCATTTATTTTCACTATTTACCACTCTATTATCTTTCTATTCATTGCTAGAAAGACTTTCTCAACTATAAATAGTGGTTGTATTCATTTGGTTTAGAACACACAACATACAAGAGAAAATATAGAGTGAAAGGGTTAGTAAAAAAAAAGAGTTCTTATTAGTTGAAGTGATGTGTTATTTTTTATGTAGCTTTGGACTCAACTCTTGTCTAGAGTTGTTGAGTAATATTTTGTGAAGGCTGTTGCATCCTGGAGGGATAAGTCAAATAGTACTACTGCTAGACCGGTTGAAAAACATTTATTGTAGTGGGCTTGAATCTCCTTTAAGAGAACGAGATATTCGCTCCTCAGCCTTGAAGAGATTTATTTTCTTCTTTTTATTTTTAATTGTAGTCTTGTATTTTTTGTTATCTAGTATTTTTCACTAACAATGGTGTTGTCAGCTAGAGACTTGAAGGATTTGACACTTAGAGAAGGAGAATTATGTATTTTGCTTGAGATCCATATGGCTATAAGCGCAAATAGCTAAAAATTGCTTTCTCTCAGAGGTCGTAAAATCCAGCTCTTAGCATCGTAGGTTCCTGGTCCAGTAAGAGATGGGTAAAACCGCTTGGCGAAAAGTGATAACGCTGAGTATATGACGATCAGAGAAATTTAAAGATCTTGAGCGTATTGAATGAGGGAGTTTACACGTCAAGCTTGCAAACAAGAGCAAACATCCTTCTTCATTCTCGATCCCTCTCTCTTCATAGAACCTGTTGGCCAAAATGCATAAGAGAACCAAATGTTGAAGAAATTCAAAGCAATCAAATTTATTTGTCCAGGTAACGTGGAACCCACGGCAAACAAAATCAGCACAAGAACAATCGATCGATTTGTAATCATAAAAAATGAGTATGATTATCAATTTTTTACAATGAATTTTTCTTACGGGGCTAGTGGAGAGGAGAACGGAGTGGGCAAGGGTGTGGTCATGATAGTGAAGAGGTTTTTTGACCAGATCTAGTGGTGCGGCGACTTAGGTTGTTATTTTTGTGGAGGTTGAAGGAGGAAAAAGATAGTGTTGGTGTGTGGAGGAGATAAGGACGACCAAAGGAGAAAGTATATGTGATTTCCCCGGCAAAAATGGCGACTTCAGCGGCAATGGCTTTCTCCGGTTGATTTTGATCCTGAAAATTTTGATTGTACGGATTTTCACTTTTAAAAATGCCAAAAATAAATTAAAATATTATTAGTTTACATTTATTAAATAATTTTGGTTAATGATTTTTAAGAATAGTTATGAACTAATTTTGTTGTGATATTAATATATCTAGCGTGGATATAACATGTCAATTATATAATGAAGAGTGAGCTACACACAAGGTTGGAGGGACTTAAAAGTCTCATTTTAATTGAGTTTAAGAGCGAGATGAAAAAGGGATAAGTAGAAGGGTTCAGAATATAAATTGATACAAGTATAAGGGTCCACAGACCATTTTCCCTAATTAAAATATGGAAGTGCTAAATGACCAAAAAAATTGGCAAGAATTTGACCAGAAAATTAAAAAAAAAAATACTCCCTCAGTCCTATTTTATGTGCCATATTTGACCGCACATGGAGTTTAAGAAATAATGAAGACTTTGAAATTTTTACCAAATTGTCATACAAAAAGTAAACTCATTTTTCTCTCTCATTATAAATGTATTAGGTACTATCTTTAAAATTAAGTGGGACCAACAAGGATAAAAAAGAAATTTTACCTTTAAATATTTACCATATAAGGAAATGTGACATTCATTTTGGGACTGACCAAAAAGGAAACAGTGCCACATAAAATGGGACGGAGGGAGTATAATATTTTTTTATTATAATGAACTGATCTTTTTTCCATTTTTTAGTTAAAAGGTATTAAAGTTAAGAGGCTAAAAATGTTTTAATAGTTAAAATAACACAGAAAAAATTTCATTATGGCCAAAAAGGTTTTTTCTATTAAAATATGGGAAACTTTCACATATAGCCACTTAAAAATAATTAATTACTCTCCATAGCTATAGTTTGATAATTACAATTTGAAGCTACATGTTATATTGAGGAGAGAGGTGAGCGATACTGAAGAGAGAGGAGAGAGGCGAGAGAGAGTGGGAGAAAGGTGAATTGTATATGTATATTGCTTAGATAATTGTATATTATACATATCTACTTGTATATATGGCAAGAGAGATTGGGAGAGGGAGGAGAGAGGTGAGCAAGATCGAGAGAGGGAGGAGAGAGGCAAGCGAGGTTGAGAGAGAGAGGAGAGAGGCGAGCGAGAGAGGACAGAGAGTGGGAGAGAGGTGAATTTTATATGTATATAATTGTGTATTATACATATGCATTTGTATATATGGCAAGCGAGATTGGGGGAGGGAGGAGAGAGGCGAGCGATATTGAGAGAGGGAGGAGAGGGTCGAGAGAGAGAGCGGAGAGTGAGAGAGAGGTGAACTGTTTATGTTTATAGGTTAAATAATTGTATATTATACATATGTATTTGTATATCCTTGTGAATGATATATATACAAACGTAACTAATTATAAAAACTCGAAGTCAACCCACAAAATTAATGTATAATATTAGTCGCGAGTGATAATTATAGCAAACTATAGCTATGATGAATAATTAAATAATATAAGTTTGCTTAAACGCATAATTTTCCCTTAAAATATTAGTATTTAATAAATTAATTTAAAAAAATATTTAGTAAAGGGGCAAAATGGTAATCCAACTTTAAATATTAGAGCTTCCCTTTGTGAGTGTGTGGGCGCGCCCGCGCGCGTGCGTGCGTGTGCGCGTGCGTGCGTGTGCGCGTGCGTGCGTGCGAGCATGCGTACGTGTGCGCGTGCGTGCGTGTGCGCATGCGTACGTGTGCGCGTGCGTCCGTGCGTGCATACGTGCGTGCGTGTGTGTGTCTACATCAATACTATATAAGCTTGGTAAACAGTTAAAGAGTTTAAAATATTTATTTTATACATGTTTAGGGGTTTGGAGGAAACCTCATAAAGTATATGGGTCTACTTTAACATTCGAGTCAAATATAGAATCTCTTAGGTTATTTTGTTTTTATACAAAACACAATTTCGAGAAGTGTATCAAAGTTCAGTGCAAATTAGATTTTAGCAAACTTTGTACCAACTTAGAAACCCTACTCCCTTTGCCCCGCCTATAAATAATAATTTAGCAACTCCTCTCGTTCAGTCATTCTCAATGCAACTCAACATATGACGGCGAGAAATTAGGGCATCTGCCACAATGAAAAGGTAATTTTTTTGATGGCAATGGTGTAATTCAATTTCAACATAAATCCTCTTCTTATATTCTTCACAACAAAATCGTCGATTTATTGTAAGTGCACTTTACTTTTTTGTTTTCGAAATAACTCTCATCAGCTAGCACTAGTTTGATGTCAACCTTCAGAAGTATTTATCAAATTGGTTAAATCTAAAAGAATAACATACTCTTTATTTAATACAATCCCACTATACATATTTATTCACCGATTACATATATGTCATCCAGAAAACCTGATCTATTTTAAAATTGCTAAAATTGATATATTCATATATCATGTTTCTGCGGAGATAAGTGTATCAAAGTTCAGGGCAAAATAGATTTAACAGACTTTTTACCAACTTAGAAACCCTACTCCCTTTGCCCGGCCTATAAATAATAATTTAGTAGTTCCTCTCGTCCAGTCATTCTCAATGCAACTCAACATATGGCGGTGAGAAATTGAAGGGCATTCGCCACAATGAAGAGGTCATTTTTTTATGATGGCGATGGTGTAATTCAATTTCAACATGAATCCTCTTCTTAGATTCTTCATAACCAAATCGTCAATTTATTGTAAGTTTACTTTACTTTTTTGTTTTCGAAATAACTCTCATCAGCTAACACTAGTTTGATGTCAACCTTCAAATGTATTTATCAAATTGATTAAATCTAAAAGAATAGCATACTCTTTATTTAATATGATCCCACTATACATGTCGATATACATATATATTCACCGATTATATATCAGTCATCTAGAGAACCTAATCCATTTTAAAATTTCTAAAATTGATATATTCATTTGGTGGGGTAAATTCCAAAGTGTTTGTATTTGCATGAATCCTGGAGCAAAGTTGTGAAAGGGAATATAGGTTAAACATCTACTATAGTATAAACTTAAAACTGATATCAATCAATATTCTTATTGCACTAGTCACATTCCATCAGAACTCTTACTCCTAAACAGTAAAATAGTGTAACATGAATCCATTGCCTGCAATTCTCAATAATCAAATTCCAAAGAAACCCCATGGAAAAGGGATCAAAAGAGGAAGAAGTTAATTCCAAAGAGTATTGAAGGTATATCTGATCTACAAATGAAAGATTGCTGAGCTGCAGTTTGTGTGAAGTGAAAAATGGGGAGACTATTTTTGGTGGATCTTGAAGGTAAAACTTACAATTGCAAATTCTGCAAAATCCAACTTGGTCTGGCTGATGATCTTGTTTCAAAGGTACAATTTTCCCCCTTTTTTTTATTTTTTGGTTCTTTTTTGTGGTTAAATTACTAGACAAGTGATACACATTTTGGAAAAACTTGGCAAATTTGGTTAGCTCATACAAATCTTTGACTTCTTCTTCTTCTTTCTAATTTGAAAGGAACATTTTTATTCAAGTATTAGACAATAAGACAAGGTTTATTTTGATATTCAAGTCCCACTTGTACATCGCAGTTACCTTCTTGGAACAAGATGAGGCTTTTTGTACATGCTGAACATCTCACCATTGAAATCCTGCATATAATCAACAAGATGGATCTGCAAAAGCAAAAGAGGTTTTTTGTACATGGTGAACGTCTCGCCATTGAAAACCTGCATATAATCAACGAGATGGATCTGCAAAAGCAAAAGAGTAAAACTGAGAGAAACAAAGACTCTCTATTGTAGTACTGAAACAACATTTATTTATGTCACATCACGATTGCTAAAAATCATAAAACACAGTTGGAAGCTGCTAATTCCACAACTTTTTACATTTAAAGGGGGCATCAATGAATATTGAGGGGCGACGGGGACTAAAAAGTGCAGTTCTTGACATCAATCAAACAAATGGGGTTCTTGCCATATAACCCAAGAAGCACAATTGCTTGCTATTACAACGTCATGATCTCTGCAAAATAAGCTCACTACTAACACATGCTAGAGAATATTGGTGCACAGGGAACCCCTCCGGAATATCTCAACACTGTAATCATTGGCTCCAAATGCAAGCCCTGAAACAAAAATAATAAACGATGCAAGGATCAATATTCTGGTATGTCATCCCAAAACATAAACAAAAATGAACACTAAACAAGTAGATAAAGCACAAGTATCAATTAAGTACATCTCAGTCTCACACCAATACCAGATGCTATATTATTTATTTTTGAAATAGGTAAATTGTATTCATCAGCATTAAGGATATATATGCTGGCCACCTCCAAAATTGAGCAATTACAAGCTTCCTATCAACTCTACAATCTGATCTACATCTTCTATACAAAGTAGTTTAAACCAGAGAAGTAGAGTTTCAATACAATTCCATTCTACTTTCATGTATGGAATTGGACCTATCTTCTATACCAGATGCTATATTATCAGTAGGACACCTTTCTTCGCCCTAAAGGAATCTTATGGGAAAAACAATGCAACAGTGTATTACATTGGAAAAAGAGGAAAAGAAGCACAAAAAGTATTGCTGACAATACCAAATACAAGTAGCAGCACAAAACTAGGCAAATTATAAGAAGTAGAAAAAAAGGAGGCACAAATCAAAAGAAATAGTATAACCCAACAAGGATCTAACTGACTACATGCTCATTCATTTAGGGTAGGGACAGCCAAGAGCTAAGCAAACAGGTTTAATATTTGGACAGAGAATCTCGGTGCCAAAAGATCCATGTCTCGAGAGGATAATACTCCTCTGTTTACTCAGCAAATACTCACAACCTCCGTACTACTGGTCAGCGCCTATTTCCTCCAAAAGTAGTCCTGCTTTTTAAAATTTAAATTTAAAGACAAAGCATTTGCTTCCAGCACTTCTCACTTTCAATTTAGAAACGCTTATTTTTCACATCATTTTCAGCCTTAAAAAGCAACAAACCTGTGCCTTGCTGTGCTCGCTTTCAATGACACTTGTAGGGAATATCCCTTTTATCCCTTAAATGAACCAATTTGGATTTCCTTTGTCATGGAACCAATTATTAGTTCAATCTCTTTTCCCTTGAATTGATTATCCTTTTTATTGCTAATTTCTGTTCCTAGTTCCTCCCTAATCTAATTTCTTGTGTTTATCCTATTTAGTTCTTAATTGTTATGTTTGAGGAATTAGTCCACGATATTACTAGGAACAAACCCCAATTTCAATCCTACAAGATCAACAACAGATCTCAGATAAAGCAATTTGAAGTTTCACCTTCAAGCTTCACCCGAGCTCCACGTGTTTGCCACAATTTCTTCCAAATTTCAGCTAGAGTTTCGATGTTACAAACACAATACAATCAGTTTTCAAACTCAATCAGCACACAAAATTTCAAACTCAACTGCGTCAGTTCAAAGCTCTCTCGGCCAATAATGGTGGATTCAATTTTCATCCAAGCCTAATCCAAATGGACTCATATGCGAAATCAGGAGCTCCTTACAAGCATAGGAACTAACCCCAGGCAAGCAAATTGATTGAACCTTGACAAAATCAATTGAACCTACCTAATCTTCTTTGCCAAGTCAGGTTCACATATTTTTTATCGAACCCAGTTCAAACATGCATCAATTGACTTGAAACCTCAAATTCAGACTCGAAAATCAATTTTCAACCGCCTCGGACGACACCCACTTGAATTGGACCAATATCTTCAAAGACCTTTCAGATTTGAAATGCTCTGAACACGGTCCGTCAATGGTAAATTGCAGATTTCAAAAACAGAACCAGTAATTAAGTCCAGATTTGGGTCTTCAAATCATCCAAACTTTCTTAGATTAGCAAACCTCAGGTACCAGCAGTGAAGCACAAAGAGAAGTAGTGAAGAACAACATGAGTTTGATATTCATATTTGTATTAAACTCCTAAACCCTAAACCCTAAATCCTAAACCCTCAAACAGTGAAGTGCAATATGAACCAAAAAGAATAAACACAGATTTTTTGTTTCGGAAGTTTGATAAAAATCAAATACTTAATGTGTGTAAGAACAAACACTAATCCAAACTCTGATACCAAGATGATACAAACTCAAATGTAAAAGCAATAAAATAGAACAAGACAATTATAAACACGATAGTATAAAAGGGTTAATACAAGAAATTAGATCAGGGAGGAACAGAAATATACAAGGGATATTCCCTATACACTCACCAATGGGAGTATCATCCTCATTCATAAAAATCTAGACTATACAGAATTAAGTCATTGACCATAAACTATGCAACTATCTATAGTAGCTACTAATGCTTATTACAGAAATGGCCAAATGGGCTGTGATCATAAATATATAAACTGACCTTCATTCTTGATCTATTATAGCCCTTTACCTTGATATCATCTTATAAGGGTTCCAAATTGAGAGTACTAGACAGAGAGGTATCAGAAGGTAAAAAGATTTAACATTGGAAGTCTCCTCAGCATCTTTGAGACCTTGAAAAGTCTTCTTCGAGATGTTGACGAAACCAAGAGCTCTCTCAAGTTCCTAATCATTCAAGAATCAGAAGTAATATTCCATCCTTGATCCCCAAACTGTATCAGCAGCCAAGGAATTCTAGTAGTCTGCTATATTCCAAACCCCAAACCCATAAGGACTGTTGACAATTCTTGAGCACCAATGTCCATCCCGATCATACTTGTGACAGATGACCCTTCTCCACAAGGAATTAACTTCCAGGTTATACCTCCATAGCAACATAGGATACATGTATCAGCTTATATCCATTCTGCTCAATTTAGGCGCTTGCCCGGTAGGCAGATCCCAACAAACTCAAAAGTCCAGTTGGGCTAGTTTCCTTGGCCGATCAACCTACTAAAACTTCCTCCTTAATCCACATTTAAAATTCACAAACTCACATAGGTAGAGTTCATCGCCAACTCCACCAGCGAAATAAATTTCTGTTAGCATATATACTGTTGTATCTTGAGGGATTAGATTAATTGGAGTTATAATTTTTTCATTGGCTAGCAAAGTTATTGCAGACATGTGAGCTACTAGGTCATATGCCAGATTAAGACAGACTAAATTGGGTTCTCTACTTACCAAACAACTAAAAACTTCGATGGGAGAAGAAGAAATAAGTTGGTTTTGGTTTAGACCCAAATAATATGGAAAAGACAACAAGTCACCTTTCTCAAAAAAAAAAAGATATGGAAAAGACAAGTGTTGAACATTGTTATGTCAATATGGTGCAGTTCGTGAATGACAAATCAAGAGTAACGACAATCAGCAACCATAAATATACAGTACTAGTGTCAAAAAAAAAAATACAAGTAAACTGTACGCATACGTTTTCTGTGTTCGACATCTCCACCAAACACTTCATAAATCTAAATGTATCATAAATTTGAGTGCTTATGTGAGTCAAACACTTCGACATTCACCACTATCTGAAACTCTTGCCTTATAAGAGTATAATATAATACACTTCCTTGATTCAGCCACTAAACAAGCCACCTCTACTAACCTTTACTCTTTATCCAGGTTAAGACCAGGAAACTCGCACAGGTTAAATATTCGTCGCGAACTCCACCAGCAAAACGATTCAAGAAATTGTCCATCAGCAAACATACTGTTGTATTTTGAAGGATTTGGCCAACTGAACTTGTTAACTTTTGTTCAAGTAACTATCATCATCAAAAAAACTTTATTCAAGTAACTATAAAGAGGGGAAACTAAATATAACGAACTTCCTGGTCAAAGACATCCTTCAATTTGGCTAGTAAACCTATTATAGACGTGTGACAAATGTGTGTTAATAGGTTATTTGTCAGACTAAGTCAATCTGATTATTATGAATTGAGTTTTCTGCTTCCTAAGTAACTAGAAACAAACAAAGTAGAAAACTCAATTCATAATTCCAGTCGATTTCAAATCTCCAGTTTAGAAGGAGCAATCGTGACATAAGTTGAAAAAATACACAAAAAAACCTAATTTGATCATTTGGCTTTTTTTAATTATTAAAATTCAGACTAAAAAAAAAGGTGATGCCTATTACATCGCCAATTCTACGTCAGCCCTCACCTTGGCTCACCTTTTTGATCTCGCCACGCCTCGCCTGAAATAGGTGAAAACCCATCGCCTCGCCTCTTGCCATTGGCGAAGAGGCGCTCACCTTTCTAAACATTGGGTAGGCTATAAACGCAAGTTTTTAGCTATTCTTCGGCTATTATTTACTACACTTCAATTGGATTTGAGCTAATTTATTATCAATTTATACTCATTACGCTTGTTTTGTTGTGTAGGGTGTGTCCTCGAGATAACCAATGAGTGTGGAGCTAAAATAAGTGATTTGGAACTTCAAAGTAAGAAAATTAATCAAGACCAAATTTGGGGTTCAAGTTGGATGTGAATAAAGCAGTGTGAACAAAAACGAATCAAATCGGAAGAAGTGGGAAAAGGAAATCAATTTGCTGATGAGCATTTGAAAAGTCTCCAAGAAAATGGGAAATATTGCAATTAATACACCAAAGTTTGCAATTATTGCACCAAATATCATGTGATTGAAGTGAAAGGATGGATAAAGAGAAGCAAAATCAACCACCGTCTCTCTCCGTGTTAGCTGCGCATTTGGAGCATCAGGTGCGTGTCCGTGAAACGTATTTACAAGATTGATTTTTTATACTTCATTCAATTAAGGGTGTTTTCGTCCGGGACCTTTTGGGACGTGTTATAAATGGATCCTAAACATGCTTTAGAGAGGACTTTTGACCAGTATCTAGAGAGGCGAGCGGCTCATCGCCAATGGCAAGAGGCGAGGCGAGGTGACGGGTTTTTGCCTATTTCAGGTGAGGTGTGGCGAGATAAAAAAGGCGAGCCAAGGCGAGGTCTGACGTGGAATTGGCGATGCAATAGGCCTTGCCTTTTTTTTAAGTCAGAAACTTAATAATTAAAAAGCCCAATGATCAAATTAGGGTTTTTTGGGTATTTTTTCAACTTATGTCACGACTGCTCCTTCTCAACAGGAGACTTGAAATTGACTGGAATTAGAGTTGCTTCTGCGATTGGAAACTTGAAGTCGACTGTCGCGACTGCTCCTCTTCCCATCGCGTCTCTTTTCCTCCTTCATCACACGACTTGAAATCAACCCCTCGAAGGTAACTGCTTATCGCACTACTGTTGCGATTGCTCCTCTCTTCTTTTTCTTCTTTTCAATTCTTCTTTTTGAGTTCTCTTCTTCTTCAGCGTTCTTCTCTTCTTTTTTCGTTTCTTCTCATCAGAGCAGCTTGCTGCCTTCACTGTCTGCTTTTTCACTGCATACTGCCTTCACTGAAACACAGCAGTGATGAAGCCTTTTCAGCCAATTGAGTTTACAGGAAGGATATTAAAGGCCGGATAATGAGCAATCCACATCTATGGAGAAAAGTTTGGAAAAAGTATGGCACCAACCAAAGTATACTGCTTTACTTGTCTGGTGGCTAGGAGGGTCTTGTTTTAATACATGAAGTTCTCCAGAAAATGAGTACCAGATGTCTCTAGATGTCATCTATGCAAAGAAATAGGGGAAACAAACAGCCATTTGTTTGTCCATTGCAGATTCACAGCTCAGATTTGGACAATTTTCTTTAACCTCACAAAGGTTGAGTGGACCGTGCCAGAGCATACCTCAGATCTACTGAGCTCTTGGATTAGAAGGGGAGGAAGTAGGAGGCAGAAGAATTGGTGGAGAATTATCCCTTCCTCTATTTGGTGGTCTATGGAGGGAAAAGAATGGGCGGTTTTTGATGGGTCCATTTGGTTCAAAAAGAGAAATGGAATTGTATTATATCTTTCTACTTTTGGTGTAAAGAACAATGTATAAAAGAAGTAGATCAACTTGTAGAATGACTAGGAGCTCTGTAACTATTTTTTTTCTCTTTTGCTTTCTTACTATTTTTGTAGGTCTCCAGCATTGATAATGCTGAGGAATACAACAATACCAGTTCCACAAAACAAACAAACAAAAAGATAGAAAAATTTTGTTTTGGTTTACACTAAAAGTCTAAAACAAATATGGAAAAGACAATGTTGAACATATTTTATGACAACATGCAGTTAATGAATTGACAACGTCACCAGTAAAAAAATTAAAGACAATTACCAATAATATATGCTACAATTTTTTTTAATAAGGAGTGATCTAAGAAGTGTTCAAGCAATCATCTATAATACATATACGTAAAACCTACACTTGGATTCTTACTGTCTCTCACCATCATGAAACATTTCATAAATCTTAATGCATCATAAATTTGAAGGATTACATGAGTCAAAAACTTACACATTCACCATTATTTGACACTCTTACGTTGTGTTTGTATAATGTGGTACCCTACTTTGTTTCAACTACTAGGCAATTGTTCGCCCCCCTCCCCCATTTGGTGCTTACCTAATGCAGTCGAGTTCACGATCATTTATGGTTACATACCAGTGTAGTCAAAGGCACGCTTCAGCCTTGAAGCGAAGTTCAAAATGTGTTGAGCGCTTCGCGTCGATTTATGTGCGCTTCAGTGTCATCATTGAGTTTATAAGGCAAACTTTCCTTCCCAATGAGCCTACTTTGAAGAAGTGACACTTAACAATTGATATTTCACTTTATCATTTAAAAAATATCAATTTATTTGGTCAAACATTTGTCATTCATGCTTCTAATTATTAGCCTTGGACTAAACATATATGTTTGTATTTTTCTCCCTTTGCTCCTCTTTTCATTAAAGCCCACGCTTTATTTGGGGTTTGCACTTAAAGCCCCCCATGGACCTTAGAGGTTTTTTGCGCTTTTTGCCTTTGATAACACTGTTACATAAACTACCTTTTCCTCTCTCTAGTCATCAGCTTTTACATTAAAACCATAATTTTTTCACAACCAAACAGGCATCAGCCTCATTTCCTCAAGGCATATGCCTATCAGTAGAGGTAAAAAGTTCATTCTTCTTTTAACTTGTTTTTCTTTTTCTTGTAGAATGGCCAGATCCATCTAAAGGACTCATAACCAAGGAATATGCAATTCTAGACCATTGTAGATCGACTTAACAAGTCGGCACATTTCTTAGTGTTAAAGTTGACAGACACAGCGTCACAGTATGGCAAATTGTACTTGAAGGAGACAATTGCTATTATTTAATCACGTATTATAATCCCCACATTATCATTCAAGTACAAATTGTTCACAAACCAAACAACCTCCAGTACGGAAAAGCTCTTGCTCTATTGAGTTTAAGGTGGGGCATGCTTAAGTTCAATTTTTTAATTCTGGTTGGAAAGGAATTAATTTTATTCTTTTGTGTCGTTAAAAACGAGGGAGCCTTTGTTAATCAAACAAAATCTAATGAACAATTGAGAGACTGCCAAAGAATTCAAATTTAATTAACGACAGGAAGGCAACTGAAGTTCAATAACCAGCACAACGACAAGATTAACGACCACGCTACTTCAAGATATAATATAGGAAAAACTATTAGTTCATATAGAGAACGGTCAGATACCCAAGATTTTCGATGCCATTAATTGGCTCGAGAAGCTGCAGTTGATGTTGCTGTGTCTCCTGTTCCACCGGAAATTGCTGCAATGCCTGCGCATTACCACCATCAATTGGTGCTGCTGCAATAGTTGGAGTCCCTTTCCCTTCCACTAACCGCCACATATACCATGCCCCTGCAGATCTATATGGCTTCCATTTGTCACATAATTGCTCCATCTGCGACGGCCTTGGCAGTTCCTCCAGTCCATACAGCAATTGCACACCTTTCCTGACCCCCAAGTCACTAACAGGCAAAATATCTGGTCTATGAAGTGAAAAGATCATGAACATATGCACTGACCAAGAACCAATACCCTTCACCATTGAAAGCATGGCAAACAATGACCTATCATCCATCTTTACAAGAGTTTCATCAGACAAAATCCCACTTTTATACTTGTTTGCCAAGTCATGGAGATAACTAGCCTTCCGCCCTGAGATTCCTACTTGCTTGAGCTGTTGAGGAGATAGAGCGAGGACAATGTCAGGGCAAACAGCGTCCTCTCCTCCACAAAGGGACACAAAGCGAGTGTAGATTGAGGTGCCTGCTTTATAAGCTAGTTGCTGATAAAGAATGCTCTTGCTAAGAGCTAAAAACGCAGAATGGTGCAACTCGAATTGGGGGGAAGGAAGTGTATCTATTAAGGAAACAAGAAGAGGGTCCACAGAACGTAGATGCTGCAGTGCATTGTCAATCTCTCCATCAGCTGATAAGGGCTTGATGATTTGGGGCGAAACCCTTGATGATTTCGGTGCAGTCTTCCGACGATTCTTCGTTACGGTAATCGCTCCGCTGGTTGCAGTGGATGCTGATGGTACGGCGGTTTCCGGGGTTTTCCCATTGGAGGATGGGGTGGAAGAGAGTTTTCGGATTTTCTGTGGTCGAATTGGGATTTTGGAAGGGTTAGAGGGGTTTGGTGGAAGATCAACTGGAGAGTTCGATACAAGGGTGGAATCAGAAGAAGTGGGTAGAGGTTGAGGTGGAGTTTGCGTCTGTTCACTCATGAGCGCTAACAATGGCCACGAAAAATTCGCTAATATTTTCCGGCGGTTTTGTAGGAGGAATAATTGGAAGTTTCCGGTGGCAATCAACGGCGGCGGCCCGAAGAGTAGCTGAAGACGACGGTAAGTTGTGTGGTCTCGTAATATTGAGGTGAAATAATCAAAATGTCCCCTTATGGCAAATGCTTTTTTAAATAAAATAAAATAAAATCGTCTTTCTTTCCATTTGTTAGACCTTTAATTATTTTTTAATTAAAAGTATCTTTTTCAAAAAAAACGAAATTACAAAATGTTATATATAATTTATAAAGTTTTGATTAAATCGTTAATATTAACTTAACAATCTATATGTGGATATTATTAAGGCTAATTCATAAATAATTTAATCGAACTAAATTTATTCGTCTTAGTTGAAGATGAATTCATTAAAGATACATATGTTATGAAATGTTATAAAATTAAACTCGTAACAATATAAGTATAAATAGAAGTAGATAAAAGAAGAGTCATTTTCTTCTTATTCAAGTGTGTTATACAAAAGGTGAATGATATCTCTTAGGGGTGGGCATTCGGTATTTCGGTTCGGTTCGATTTTTTTTCAGTTTTTTCGGTTTTCGATTTTTGTAAATTGCGTACCAAATACCGAACCGAAATATTTTGGTTCGGTTCGGTTTTTGTTAATTCGATTCGGTTTTTATTAATTCGATTCGGTTTTTTATTTCGGTTTTTTAATGGGCCTGTTTAGTGGGCTTTTTAAAATTTTAAACTTAACAATTTTTTCAATTTTTTGTTTGATTTTTCAACTTAATGGGCTTTGATATTTCAACTTAATGGGCTTTGATATTTCAACTTAGGGTTTCTTATTTTTTTTAAAAAGATTATTTAATATTAATAATTATTAAATATAATATAATTTATAAATTATAATATAATATTTCCGTTTAAACCGAAATACCGAATTCCAAAGTAACATGTACCGAAAACCAAACCGAAATACCAAAAATACAAAAAATTAAACCGAATACCGAACCGAAAATCGAAATACCGAAACCGAAATTCTGAAAAATTTCGATTCGGTTCGGTGTTTCGGTTTTCCGGTTTTTATGCCCACTCCTAATATCTCTATTTATAGAGTTGAGATATCACCCAAAGGCCACCATGATAAATGTCCAATTAGTAGGTACATAGTTATCCAAATGGTTCTTATCACCTTGGAAACATGTATACATGAATACAATTAAGTCTTGAGTATATTTAAAGGACAATCCACACAATTCAATGGATTTATAACACTCCCCCTTGAATGTCAATAGATAATGTGTCTCGTTAAAACCTTTACTTGAAAAAAATCCAGTACGAAAAAAATTCTAGTGAAGGAAAAAGAGTACATATATCTTTTGATACGCATTATTTGTTGCCTCATTAAAAAAACCTTGCCAGGAAAACCCTGTGGGGGAAAACTTCGGTCAAGGGAAAAAGAGTGCAACCCGTATTATACTCCCCTGATTGAAACATCACTTAATTTCTTGTGATGATGTCTCCATTCTTCGTACATTGTGGTTGATATATTCTTTTTCAAAGAAAAACCACGCATTTTCTGAATATGGTGTGTCATTTATCTCAACCAGACGCACTTTCGACTTGCTTTATGAAGGGCTTTTATTTCTGCATAGCAATATTTGCTTCATTGATCGCCAGGATATTATTGTGTCTCCACATGCAAACACATAGCGTGCTTGAGATAGAGTTTTATGCGGATCAGATAAATATTCTGCATCTGCATAACCAATCAATTTTGTCTTAGATTCCTCGGAATAGAATAAACTCATAACTATGGTCCTTCGAGGATATTCAATGTGTTCAACATCATTTCAATGTCCTTTTATCGGGAAGAAACTGAATCTTGTCAGTAAATTTACTGCAAAACAAATATCTGATTAAATATTGTTAGTAAGATGCACTAGTGCCCTGATTGCGCCAAGATATAGAGTTTCATCACCAAGAAACTCTTCATCCTTCTTTTGAGATCAAACTGAAACATCGTTTATGTCAAGTGATCTCATAATCATTGGGGTACTCAATGAATGCGATTTATCCATATAAAATTGCATCAAAACTTTTCAGTTTATGTGCACTGTTAGACAAATATTTCATTTGTCAAATTATCAATCTGTAGGTCAAGACAAAATTTTATCTTACTAAGACCTTTTCATAAAAATACAAGGACACTTAGGGTCATTCTTTTGTACCCTTTTATTCCTTGACTATTTAAATCCATATAAGGATTCTTGAAGCTTTATTGAAAAAGTTTCTTTCAAACTCTTATATGCTTCAGGTACCTTGATTGTTTCAAGGATTCTCATATAACATTCATTGTATAACTAGATATTACAACTATTCATTACATGCATTCAAGTTTTTCATATGTTGTCAGATCAAAACAAATCTCATTGCATCCACCAAAGGAGAAAACATCTCCAATAATTACAGGATTTTTGCGATAAACCTTTATGCCCCAAGGCACAAACTGTATTTGATATCTTACGGTTATACTATCGCATAATAATTTATTTATACCCCCCTGACATTATACCTTGATTTATGGACTATTTGTCTAAAACGTCACTTTTGTAAGTAAAATAATATACTTGAATCATGCATTTTACTTGGCCAACCTTTTATCAGTCTAAACTATATGACAGATTTGAATTCAAGATCCTCGTCACAATTATTATCATTGAGCGCTACTGTCACGACCCAAAACGAGCCGCGAGTGGCACCTACCCTTACTCTCCTAGGTGAGTGAACCAACAAATCTAAACCCCAACATTTACCAATAGTTCAATTATAAATAATATAAATAATGCGGAAGATCCAAAACTCATTAACGAAATTAATTAATTCAACTTCTAAAATTAAATACTTATTATTCCCAAAATCTGAAAGTCATCACACCAAGAACATCTATCCTCGAATTTCTAAATCTAAGAGTATTTAAGAAGCTAAAAATAGTAAAAAGATGGTCCATGTCCGAACTTCAAGACATCAAGACGTGAAGGAGAGGATCCAGCACGAGCTAGGAATAATAGCTCACCTTGAAATCTGATGTACTGAAGACTGGCTAGAGTTGAGGACGATTCAAAGTTGCTGCACTCCACAAATAAAAAAGAAGAAAATTACAAGTAGGGGTCAGTACAAGGAACACGTACTGAGTAGGTATCATCGGTCAACTAAGAATAGAAAGCAATATATACTGAATAATAATATAAAATCAACCATAATACTCAACAGGTGAAAATCAACAAGTATAAAAACCATTGACAACAACACCAAGCACACCTATGAAGACTCAAGCCTCCACACCATACTCATTTGGGAAATAGGTTCTTTGAATTTGAGTACATTAACATAATTCAAGGTTCATACTCTTTATCCTTATCATGTCGGAACGTGACACTCCGATCCCCTAATACTATCGTGTCGGTACGTGACACCCGATCCCCTAATACTACCGTATCGGTACGTGACACCCGATCCATTTATCTCATTATTTTAGTTCATCAAGCCTTCTTTATGTCAAGGCGCCATCTTAATAGAGAGGATTTAAGATTGAAGATTCAACAGTCTCATCATTCTGACCACCACCATTGCATAATCACAACATACAAACACACAATCAAGTATATAGAAGACTTTACAACACCAACCAATACATATCGATCGCTATTTAGAGTTTATCTATCACATAGAAATAAAAACCATAACCTACCTCCACCGAAGAATCGTGATCAAGCAAGCTACCTTCCCAATGCCTTTGTTTTCCTCTTCGTTCTCTCTTTCTCGCTCGTTCTCCCTCTCTGTTCTTTTTATTTTTCTTCTCCAAATTCTTTTTCTTTTACCCTAATTATCACATAATCAATTATAAAAGATGATAAAAGTAACCCACTATTTATTCCCTTATTAACTTCTTTAACCCCCAAGTAAATAAATTATTAAACTTACCCCACTAATTCCATAATTATAATCATGAATAGTCCAAAACACCCCTTTAAAACTTTTTGCAGAAATCCGACCCAGTCGGGGTTATGCAACTTGTGACGGTCCGTCGTATCCATGACGGTCTGTCCTGCAGGTCCGTCACAAAGTTCAGAGAGTTAAATTCAGTAGTGAAGCTTGTGACAGTCCGTCGTATCTACGACGGTCCGTGCTGCAGTTCCGTCGCGGAGTTCAGAGAGTCGCTCCCCGTACCCAAATTTCAGAGTTGAAGTGTTTTGGAACGAAGGCCCTTGACGGACCGTCGTGCCTATGACGGCTCGTCCTACCTGTCGTCGAGGGTAATGAGGAGAGCAGCAGAATAATTTACACAAGTATGGGACGACAGAGTCCATCACGGTCCGTCATGACCATGACGGTCCGTCGTGTGATCCGTCGACCCAGTCAATTTTTATCAAAAATAGTTCTACTGCTCGAACCGACTAAACAGGTCATTACAACTACCTCATATCAAAGATACCGTCGATGGTTATTTGATATCGATTTCAACAAGATATAACTTATCGAGATCTCTTCATTTTTCTTCATTTTTCAAATACCTGAAGCCTTTTCAAGATTTTATGAAGTATTATGTCAATGTACTCTTTTATAGCACTTGCCTCATTATCATGACCATATTGATCATATGCTCCTTCCTTCTTCAAGGAATTTTATATTTGGAATCGATTGGTCTATTACGCTTCCGTCGTCTCATAGACTTTGTCCTTCAAGGACTTCATATTGGAGCATTTGCAGCTGAATTATATCATAGGGTCAGTGCATTCATCTAGCAACTGATTTGCAACATTATGCAACTGAATTATCCCTTGAACTTTAAGTTCACATATTTATTTAACGAGGATCTAGATAATTCATAATTAACATCACACATAATTTTCAGTTGTCAATCATCTCTCCCCCTAATGTTAGAAAATTTAACATTCACGCCAACTTTATTTGGGAGTTCATCTTTGTACGTGGTGGAGCAATTAAAATCATAGCCGCACATTCAACATTTTAGATGAAAATTATATGGTTCCTGACCCTGAACAAATTTTAATGGGGAAACCTTGTTGGTTTGATGCATACATGTGTTGATACATGTTACTTATCTCATACCAAATCTTATTTGGAAGTTTT